CCAGCAAGCGGGCCGCTTCCTCTCTCATCCACGCTTCTCTCTCTGCGGACGCTGTTCGGGGGAGAACGTTTTCCCCGGAGAGCGGTGTTGCTCTGAACTCAGGGCCCCGTTGGCTCGATCGGCGTCCGAGCCCCTGTGCCAAACGACTCTGTCTCCCTGAAACCTGCTGCCGCCCCAGAGGTGCTGGCGGCAGGCACAGGTCCCTGAGGTGGAGGCCAAAGCTCTCGGGGTGGGTGACCCTTCGCCAGCCTCTGACGGAAGGCTTTTTGGCTGTCGGGGAAACCGGAGCTGACTGGGCCTCCTCCGTGATGCTCCTTCATGGAGCCGAGGCGTTCGCGCCTTGCTCTGTGCCTCTAGGTGTCAGGACTACCTCTCTCCTCACGGGACTGAGTGTGGCGTGCGGGGCAACTGCGTGGTCCCGAAGTGCTCCCGTGGCACTTCTTTGGGCCTCCCACCCCACCCCCGACCGCACCGGCCCCCGGCCCGTCTGGGGCAGGCCTCCCTGCTCAGGGCGCCTCCAAGGATGTATGGATGCCCCAAGGAGGGCGTCGCCGTCCTGTCCTCTCTGCGAGACGGATATGCAGCCCGGTGCTATTCTAGTGCTTGCTCCGGGGGAGGGGGCCGACCGACGGCGAGGGTCCGGTGAGAGAAGCGGGGCTGCTGTCAGAAGGACTCCCGCGCCATCAGTCCTGGAGTGTGTGTGTTCTGCTGTGGGTTCCGCGGTCACGGTAGCAGCCGGACGGAGCCGGGTTCGCCGCCCTTGTGCGGGGCTCCTGGGAGGCCGAGGGAAGGGGCCGCCTTGTCGGTTGTCCGGCGACCCGACGGCTGGGAGCCTGCCTCAGGCTTCAACAGCAAGACGCGGGCGCGGCTCTTTCTCGCTTCGGAAGAGAGGCATGCACGCGAAAGGCAGCTCGGCTCCAAGCTTCACTCATGGAGGTAAGGCGCTGGTTCTCTCACGTGTTGTGCAGGCTCGGGTTGGGGAAGGCATCCTCCGTGGAGCGATGTGGGCAGGGATGGCGTGGCCATCCCACACCGACTTCTTTCTCACAGGGGCGGCAGAGGGACGTCACCTCAGGCGTTCACACACACTCTGAGGTAGCAGACCGCCGCTTCCCCGCGAACGGCAGCTGACGCCGAGCGGGCAGAGGCGGGCCGCTCCGCCCGGGCGCTCGCCCCTCGGGAAGCGGGCCGCTTCCTCTCTCACCCACGCTTCTCTCTCTGCGGACGCTGTTCGGGGGAGAACGCTCTTCCCGGAGAACGGCGTTGCTC